CTCCACTTCACCTGTCCCACTCAATCCAGGCCCGCCCCTTCTACCACGTCCCGCCTCGCCCTGACTCGCCTCACCCCGCCTCATCTCACCCCGCCCCGCCTGGCTCGCCTCCGTGACTCACCTCACCTCGCCCCGCCTGACCCCGCCACTCCGCTTCTCTTCCCCGCCATGCCCCTCGCCGGAGGCATAACAGTCGGCGGCGACACCGGTGGCGCGGGATGCAGCTCGCTTGCGACAGCCCTCTGGTCCAGCCCTTTGGCCCTGCCGGGCGCTGCCCTCGCGTGGCCTGCCGCGCAGGAAGCGAGCCCCGTCGAACGGCGTCTGCCGTCTTCGCTCTCGCATCGCGGAGCGACGTTTCCAACCTGGCTCCCGCGGAGGAAGGCGCGAGTCTTTTTCGCGCTGCGAACCTCATCTTTAAGGAATGCAATTTTTGGACCTCCGGTTTAGCGAGTTTCTCCTCCCCTCGTATCTTTTGAACCAATGAATGGATGCGAGAACCAAACATTCGAGTGTATTTTTAGCGTGGGAGTGAATCAGGCTATAGAAATATTCTTAAAAACCACTATTTTCCGTTATGGTTACGGGCACACAATGCTTTGATGCATTGATTAAGCAACATTGTTCATTTATCTAAGAAGTGTATTACAAACAATTCATTGAAGCAAGTATATCACAAAAAATGTTTCAATCCTGCGTAGAAATGCAGAATAAAAAATAGCGTTGTCATAGATTAACTATATTTAATGTAGACGTTCCTTGTTTGTTTTTTTTTTTCTTTCTGAATTGAAAGATAATATTTTCCCTACTCCAGAATGTGAGGAAGTTGATGTGTTAAAGGTGTCATGTATACTTCTTGTTTAATTAATTACTAAACCAATTGTGATAAAATAGACTAATACAGCTCTTAGGATACGGGATATATGTACTTCGTAATATTCAAATTTTTAACGTTACGTATACTTAAAATCATTCGTCCTGAATCGAAGATCACAGTGTGTCAGCCGAAAATTTTGTAATACTTCCTGCATTTCTTGTTTGTTTTGTTTGTAATGGTCGGGCAGTTAGTTTAGTGCATGGGCTCACTTCCGACATGGGCTGAAATTGCTGCGAAATATTTTAATCGACTTTCCGAAGGCTACGAAGGTTAGGGTTACCAACGTTGCAGGTAAATTATGACTTCCATATTTACCACCAGAGAACTCCACAAAAAACTGCTCCAGTAATATTCATCTATTACTTCAGTCCAGTGAGATGCCTGTTATTTGAACCGCAAATTCCAGCTTCAGAGCAATTTGAATATCAAGCTAAAATTCAGATACGTAAAAATATCTTGTAGTAGTTTTGAAATTTTTGTTTTTGCACAAAACCACCGTCTACTTTATTTAGTGAATTTCAGGATTATTTAAAACCAATGTTTTTGAAAATAAATAAAAAGATAAATAAATAGACGAAAGAATGAATAAATGAATAATTTTGTTGAGAGAGCCCCTTGATACTCGTTCTACCATGAACGTGCGCTCCTTCATGAGAACTGTCATTCTAAACTTTTAGAGCAGTGCAAACATTTTTATTGGTCAAGATTGCTTTGTTCAAACAACAAATTTCTTATGCCTGAGAATAAGAATGTTAAAACAATGTTTTATGATGAAATAAGAAAAAAAATAGCATCATTGTGATTGTGGGACACAAACAATTGGCAAGTCCGTGTCAGAATAAACAATGCGAAATGATGTCGGTCATTGCCGCGTGCTTCTTCCAGTAGTAAAACGAAAGTCAAACATACAATATGAGCGGTAAATGATTCGAGAAAAGAACAAACGCTTTAAGAACATTCGCAATCACTTAGAACAGGTCGAGGAGAAGGAAAGTTGTTAGTGCTATACGTATAATTAATGATGTACGTACGTACCCCCTCGTCGCACCGAAGGGAGGGGGGCACATAGCTTCGCATTCCCCTCTCCTGAAGCCGATGACGCGGTTATCAATTCTGTGCCACGGATGTTAAGTGCACAGAGCCTATTTTTTTGCCTAAATGTTATCGCACTTATATCAATTTTATAGGTCTTTCCAGAGGAATTGAAAACCGCAAATAATTCATCGTACTTTGAAGCGGAAAAGCAAAGCAATGTCCATTTTCGTACATCTTTTAACTGTCGCGGTATCATTACTGTTCCGATACTCACAGAACACCGATCTGAGAAAACTTCTAGCGCCCGGCTGCTTTGTTCGGTAGTTTTTCATGGTTTCTCCAATCGGCACCAGGTGAATGCAGGAGCAGTACCTAACAAACGGGCCACGGTCCGCGCGCGATATTTCTTTCCTCTGCCTTGCCCTATCCTCACCCCTTACATACACACAATCGCGCATTGCACTACCACACATCTCGAGAGACCAGTCGGGAGGTTAGAACTTGACCCTGCTGGGACGGCGCCTCACTGGTGGGAGATACCTGGGTGGGGAATATCTCCACAAGCGGACGTACGTCGGCACCGGATCTGGCCAACCAGTGGGAGATCAGCGCCACCTCCTGCTCGGAGAACATTCACTACATTTACTGGAATAATGTCCTTAGCCGCAGACGCCCTCAGAATTGCTAATCTAGCAACCAATATCATTCCGATACCCAGAGAATACCAATCTGGGGATGGTGGAGGGTGGGGGGTGGACGGCGAGCCTTAGAATAAATTGCAAAATAATTGAAAGAAAATGGTGTTTGTCTAAGAGTTGATACTTCATGTATTTAGCAATATGTTGCAAAAATGTTCTGTAAATTATTAGTAAAAATATTTCCAATTTTTAATGTCTGACAAGGGTATATTTTAATCATTTTCCAAACGTGAGGTCCTTGCTGCAGGGGATACAGATGTCCATGTCTCTTTTCAGAACTAGTTCAACTTTCACTATCATGCTCATGATGCGAAACTGATCTCTGCATCGACGTATACAAAGTATGCTGAAATATATGCTTTGAATACAACTACTACTTATGGTAAAGATAAGTCAAAAAATAACAGTCCAAGATGATGATACTAACTTCTTACTTAAACCAATGAGGAGCAAACAAAACTACACTGGGATTAGTCGCTGCTTCCTTGCTCATTGCTGTTGACTTTTCAACTGCTCGTTGGGAGGGGGGGGGGAGGAGGTAAAACTCCCTTTACCTCCGAGCTTTGGAATTGTACTCTTTATTAATTTAACATGAAAAAAAAGAAGTATATTCTTTGCTGGAAAGCCAAATAAAATTATTTCTTCAGTAAATGTTGAATCATAAGATTAAAAAGGATTGAGAAAATATTAAGTTGGCTGAATACTAAATCTTTAGACTCTCCCATAGGGAAATTTTGCTTTTGTATATGAGTAGGAAATTCTCTCGTCAGCTCATAAGGCTCTACTAAAAATATGTTTACTCTTGTGGCTGCAGGATAGCTGTGATATGCAGGCCTTTAACACAGGAGGAAAAGGGAGTTCCTCCCATGATGTTCCTTTTTTTTCATCATGGTTCCCTCTAAGAGAGATTTCAATATTTTTCGGTTCTCTTAAAACCGCTCTTAAGTTTAAAACTTTATCAAAGTAAATTCTTAAAACTGTCAATTAAAAAATTAACTATTTAACTCAAATATCAAATCAAATATTTTATTTATTAACATTTATAAAACATTATGTATATATATTATATAACATTATAATTGTTTATAACATATTAAATAAAATATTAGTTATATTTTATTTATATTGCTAGAAATTGGTGTGATGAAGACTGTCCTTTGGTGTCCCTGGGAAATCTGCTACTGCCAGTATTTGTACATGAATTAAAATTATATTGTCCAAAACTTTTCATTCTTCCTGCATGAATTTTGCACTTCGTCAGCAGCCTGTTGTGTTTCCGGATGCTGGGGCTGACAGAAAGAATTTGTTGTGTTGCAGGAACTCTGTAATGTATCGGGGTGCCATGCTGAACATCCACAAGTACAAGCTTCGTGCCAGCTCATGCCCTGACATCTTCCGCAACTCCATGACCACCATCGCACAGGAACAAGAGGAGGTGAGTCCATGGTGAAAATCAGGGATTCTCAAACTTTTCCATGATTGTACCCTGTACATTTTCAAGATATTCCAATGATGAAGTACCATAAATATAGCTTTAAATTTTGGCTAAATTATTTAAGCATTTTTATATTTGGACCCATTGTTATATAGTTTTTTAGTGAATAGGAGCAAAGAAAACATGGAAGAAACTCAACATTATGCAATTTCCTCTCAATTTATATGTATTTATAATAAGACACACTTTTTGTTTCGTAACTGAAGTGAATGCTTGAATGCAATCAAGGATTTAAATTCTTGTATCATTGATAATTCTGAGAACACTCCTCACTCAGATACTTTTCTGTCAAGTTGATTTCTTCTTTAACTTTTGTCAAGGATGTTGTTGATGTACTCTGTACAAACCCTGTATCCCTGAGAGAGTTTGAGAACCTGTCGTGTAAACAAGGTGTTGTGTTCACATGTTATTCACTGTGTTGTGCTGCAATAATCAACGCTATTCTTTTTGCAGCATTGGTATTCGGATATGCTCACCTTGCTGCGTGGTATGACGGACTTCTCTTTGTTTGCTGAGCTGCATTTCACGCTGATGCAACTTAGCACAGTTCTACTCTTCATCTGGTTCATTGTTCCCTACTTCTATTTAGCTGATTACATGACTGAGAATAATTATACGGAAACAGAAGCTTCATGGTTGCTGAGCATTATTGGCATCACAAACACCATTGGTATTGTAAGTAATTCAAACTACCCACTTAGAATAATTAACTTAGAATAATTATCTTAGAATAATAAAGTGAAATTATATATTTTAAACTTGAGATTTAAAGACAAAAAGCAATGAGTGCTTGTCTCATAAAATATTAAATGTGAGCTTAATTTGAAGTGAAGTGAAGTGAAGTGAATTTAATTAGCCTACTCTGATATTCACAAACTCTGGTTATAAGTGCTATAGAATATTTATTATAGTTCACATGTGAGCAGGTAATCTTGATTAGTATCGGAACACATTTTTGGAATGGATTATGTTCATGTTTCTCATTTTTAATTATATTAGTAATATATATGTATATCAATCTTTGAAAGGGAACTCTTTTAACAGCATTTAATATATTTGTTCTAACTTTGGGTATTACATACATTTTGAATTTGTTTAAGCAATATAACTTCTTTTGAATATTGTTCTGGCCATCAATGGCTTAACACAAAACCCGTGCGATATATGCCATTTTCTAAAATATTTTGAACAGAATTTAATTTTGTGTCATGCTGTATTGCCACATTTATTGGTAGTGATGTCGTTGTTGGATGTGAATTAAACTTTGAATGAAAAAAACTAAATTTAACAGTGAATGGCAGTGGAGAATCCAGGGGAAATGAAGAACTAGGAGCCTTGGCTCCCTCTTTGCCAAAACCCATCACTTTCTTCTAATTTTATTAATTTTTCTCAGAAAGACTTTCTCAAAACAACTGCCACTTATTGATTGCATCACATTCCAAAATAGCCAGCTTGAGTAGATGATATTTAAGAAGAAATTCATATTCGAAAAAAAGTATAATTTTTCTTCAATAAATTTATGGAAGGGAGGCGGTTGAAATTGTTCCTCCTTGAAATACTTTCTGGATCCATGCCTTAGTATTATACTTGTTTATCTTGGAGCGTGGGTGTCTCTGGCATTTAAAACTTCATGGGAACATCACTGCAAGGGATATAAATACTAGTATTGCATGCAAAATTTTAATTCACGCCATGACCTTTTTTAATTGATATTTCAGCATTAACAAGGCGCATGCGGTAGATTAGAAAATGTCAAGTTATGCCGCAGCTATTCATTAGTACTCTGACGATAAAGTTAAAAAATGATGACACTCGTGGAGACGATCAGCAGCAATGATAGAACTGTGGAGCAATGTGCTTATTGACTCTATTTGTAAGATAAGAACATGCAGGATTACATAACACTATATGTGCTTCCTCACAATATTCCTTTCTCTTGCATTTTTGAGTAATGAAGAACAGGAAAATATTGTGTTCTTAAATTTTTTGCTTCAGTCTGAACTTTATAAAATAAAGAAATATTATTGCTATAAAACACTTTATTGTTTGAAACAATTTTAGTAAAAATATGGAATTGTTGGAGTACTGGGTATGGTAACTTGAAAGTTTTGGGAGGGATGTGTTTCCCCCTTCAGAGATGCCTATGTCTCAAAGGTTTTTTTATCATTCTTGACAAATTTATTTTCAAATATCTTTACCATTCTTTCCTTTTGGTTTCTTACAGGTAGGACTGGGATGGGCAGGTGATCAACCATGGGTAAATGTTCCCAAAACATTTGCTGGATGCCTGGTGTTGTGCGGTCTGTCAGCCCTGGCAATGCCTCTTTGCAAGGAAAATTTCTTTGCCCTGGCTTTCGCATCAGGGTTGTTTGGTCTCTTCTTTGCGTCGTCATTTTCTTTCACCCCTGTGATACTGGTGCAGCTTGTCCCATTAGAGAAGTTTACCACTGCCTATGGGCTGGTGCTCCTGTGCCAGGGCATTGGTAATCTCATTGGACCACCAGTAGGAGGCAAGTATTTCATCTTGTCACATTGCTACTTTCTGTTTTGTTTGTTTATGCCCTTGATTTAATAATTAAATGACTTTAATTTATACTAATAGGGAAATTATTTTTATTGTTATGAATGATGATTTAACTGTTAAACTGTGATCAGATGGTGAATGTGTAGCATGTTGTTGTTACTGTCATTGTTATATAATTTATTGTTTATGTCAAGTTGTAAAATATTTTATTGATTCCTTCTTCCTTCTCTTTTGTCGATTTATTTTCAATATTTTTGTTGCCCTATTGATGGGTGGATGGAGTTATTGTTTTAGTAAATTACAAAACCAATATCATATATATTAGATAAGAGCTAGAATCTGGCTTTGGAATCAAATATTAAAAGGTGTTTTTTTGTTTCATTTTATATTTGTCAGGTCTACAAGAGCTAAGAAAGAGACTTTTGTTTCAGAAAAAGTGCATTCAATCATATTTTTGCAAGGGAAATAATTACATTAATGATAAATTAATGATAATAATTATATTCTCGTACTAGTACTATACTTTTTTGTGTTGTTATTGTAAAATAACTTATTTTATGTATAATGTTTCAGGTTGGCTTTATGATGTGACAAAAACTTATGATTTAAGTTTCTACCTCACCGGGATCTGGATAGTTGTCTCAGGATTGCTCATAGCTGTCATTCCGATGACTAAAAATCATAGATTATGGGGGACAAGTGTAACAGATAAAGAAAAGGAAATTAAAGAAGCAGACCAGGTGAGCTGTGCCTAATCGGAGCACTCGTTTTACTGAAGAACACAACTGTATGAATTTGCAGTATTTAATGGAGCTTTCTGCTGTGCAGTTATCTAAGTGTTTGGAGGTCAAAGCAATTACTAGTAGTGTGGCTGATAGAAGAGGTCACGTAATGTACCTAATTATATTAATTCATCAGAGTATAAAAGAGTCTTATGTATTGTCAAATTCTGTGTGAAACATGAGAAGGAATGGTGAAGTTATGTTGTTAGGGAAAATGAATAAAATCTTGGGCACAACATTTACATCAAGCTGACAGAACTTGCTATTCTTGTATGGGGTAGTGGCATAAATGTATGATTTATTATGCTACTTCATATCAATATAGAAGATTCAATGTTTAAAAGAGATCGTCCGCTTAAGATTGAAAAATCATAAATAAATCATGTGTCTTGTCCAACAATAAGTTACATTAGGCAATAATGAACTTATTCATAATGCTGCATGAATGAAAATTGCACAAATGTGCCATTTGTTTTCTCTGTTATTAACAAACAGAAAGAAATTATTAAATTGAGTTTTAAATGAGAGTGTAACTGCAGTCTTCTTAAATGAAGCTGTAACTATTTTACCTGCGTTGTGCCTTTGTGAAGATTATAGTACAGAGGAAATGTACTTACTCTTAGCAGAGCAATTCATGAATAGTTCCATTTTGTATTTTGTTTGTTCATCGATAAGTCAGGGTACCACTTTTTGTTTTTCCTAAGAGAATGTAGCACAAGCAGGTGAGGAGCTTGTAAGTTTATTTGAACTTGTTTTGCAGTATTACTTGCCACATTTTACACACATGTAGGTACTTACTAATTATTATATTTATAGAGATTTACTTCCCCAAGTTTCTTCTGTAGGTAGTGCACATTATGCAATATTTCATAATAATACATTTGCCTTTATATTTGTATGTCAATAATAGAATAGATGGATTCTAGTCTAGTTATAACCTGTGTCAGTCTCAAGATAAGATATTAGTGCGGAATATAGTATGCTGTTGCTCACTTGCATGACCAATTTCAGTGGACTCTCTTATATAAGACAGTCTTGTAGAATTTTCAGTCACAAATTTAATCTTGTATATTCTAAATTAAAACATAAGAATTAAACATTTCTGATGTGTAATAGTTTTGAAACTATGTTTCTACTCATTAAGAAAAGAAATGAGCTTTATATGAATCTTCAGAAAAGGTGCCTATGCCAACAAAACATACATAAATCATTGTTTGAATTTTCTTCCTATGTCATTTGCACTGCCATTAGTGAATTCTGTGAAATGACTGTTAAGAACAAAAGAGTAATAGTTAAAAAACTATTTTCATGTGAATAAGTTCTAAAAAAATCATGAAGTAGGTCTTATAATCAAACCTAGTTCCTTATTTGTGAATTGTAGAGATGTCCGATCCAGTATTGTTTAGATGGAGTGAGCTTGAAGGAGTGATATTAAATATTCCTTGGGTGCTACAAATAAATATAAATCTAAGCTATAGACTGTGGCAAGATGATTGCAAGGATCATGAGCATCAGTTTCGTTTTATTTCTTTGGCAATTTTAAATTTTTTAACAATTGCTACTTCGGATGAAATTGCAATTTATGTTCAAAACCTTTCTTGAAGAAAGATTCGAGAAAAGTTAAATAGTAAATTTTTATTTAATTATCCACACATGTGCTGCATGGTGGTCGCAATAAATTCTACGTAGTTTCTTTAAATCTGTAAATCTGTGTCTTTATCTAAACATTCCCATTTAAAGCCAGTCTAAGTAAATAGGGTAATTTACTAACAGTGTATTATTCATGTTATTAATGATAGATGTTCTTTATTCAAGATAGGGACATTCCAAATTACAGACTGGCGTTAGACTTGACTGTGTGTATGCTCATGATGTCCTTTCTCAAAGGTAATTCAATATGTTACTGACTAGTAATTCTTGCCATCTTAAAGTCCTTGTATAGTCTATTTTGTGCATTACATATAGAAATATGATATAAGAAATAATTATTGATTAGTATACGTATTTGAATGCAGTATTTGTTACAGAATATCCTGTATTGGATTAATGTAACATACTGTGCTTAGACTGAGCAATATTAAAGCAAATATGTCTTCTTCCTGTCCGCAATATTGCAGTCGATAGTCTGAATCTTCCATTGTCAGTTTGTCTTCGTGTTCTTAATTTTATTGCATCATTTTTATATGTTTTCACATGTGCACACTGAACATTTGTATTCTACTTACTGTTTACAATTACTTACAATGTACATCTATTCTAAGATAAAATCTTTGTTCATGCTGACACCGAACATGTTGCAATGCAATGTCTTGAAGAACTCTTCAAATAAAAATGATGTATGATGTAGTTGATAAGTTTTTTATTTCGTGCTCTTGGAGGGTAAGGATTCCATACGTCCTGATGTTCCCAGGACAATCCTGGATTTTTGCCCTGGCCTGATAAAATCATTTTGGGATGCTGAAATGTCCTTGATTTTCACAAATGCAAAAAGGTCAGATATTTACTGATAGCAAGCATGATTATGTTGAATCGGTGACTGAATGTCCTGTTAAATGTTGGTCAACCTGATGATTCATTAGAAAGATTTTTTGTTCATTTGCATCATTTCTTTTTGTTCACATGCTCTGTGGAAAGAGTTAAGTTATTTGAATTTGAAATAATTGGGGCAGTTTAACAAACTTTTATTTTAATAAGAAAAGCAGTAGAATGCCGGAGAGATAGTATGTGTTCAGTGAAAATTCAAAGGCACAGTTCTCATTTATAATGAAACTATGGTCTCTTCCAAAGACATAGAGGAATGTGATATCTGCCATGTGGTGTTTAACTTTAAACATTTTTTTAAAAAGTTTATTTAATAATTAGTCTTAGTTTCATAATTTTCAGTACATTTGTCATAATGCACTGTTTTTAAAGGCACCAGCAAATTATTTTGGTGTTTATAAAGCATTTTGAATAATTGTATTATCTTTTATATGCCCTCCTAATTGTAATTTGGTGTTGTGTCCTAGTTTTTGTTTTAAAAATAGGGATCCCTACTGGCAGAGCAATCTCCTCAAAAAAGAAAATACCATGAAAACTTCTCTGAAAGATCTTCCAATGATTGATTTTTTTCTAACAGAAACTGAACTCTTGGATTGTATTTAAATTGTACCCCTCTTAACAAATCACCCCCTCCGTGACCATACTCCTACTTATCAATTTTATTAATTTACCCATTTTCAGAGAGCACTTTCTGGACAATTGTAAGAATACAGAACAGCGCATTTTCAAAAATAAAAATTAGTGATGTAAACTATGTGAGTGTCCCGCCCTGTGCCTGACCTTCAATCTTCAGGAAATCAGTGGTTAGGACTCTGGGAATCACGACCTCCACGACCACACTCATGATTAGGGAACGGATTGTCATGTAAATACATATTTTTACAGGAACAAGATACCTCATGATATGTTTCAGTTTACAAGTCATTTTTGATTGGATTATAATCATTTTTATTTCACATGTTTTACAATTTTTGGTATATTAACGTATTTTTACATAATTTACTTGCTACTACATACTTTGTCACATTTTAATATATTTTTATGTTGAAATGGAAAATTTGAGATGTGAGTTTGCAATACTGGAATTATCTTTCTCACTTTCTCAATGCAAAGTACTTCTATGACCACTGGTCCTTCTTCATAAGTTGTCAAGCTTACTTCCCCCTTTGCGTCTTGAAAACTAACATACTCATGATCACACAGAAGTCTTTTCAACCACTTACTTTGCTCATGTTTCAAGGACTACATGTGTAACTTGATCAAAAATTAACAATTATTTTTCAGATCGTTGTATTATTGCAGTGTTGGAGAAAACTGGGGTGAATGTCCTCCCCCTCTAGTATCCATCACTGACACTATGGTATTACTATTTACTAGAGCACCACCTTGATGTCATATGTACATCATTGTATATACTTTTTTTTTTTTTTTTTTTGATAGGAACTAGAGTACAATTATGTCTGTTGAGATACAACTTTCTTTCAGTCTTAATTCATGTTAAAATGTGATCAGCGATGTTCTGTGCTTGAAAAAGGCTTAAATAGAGAAATTTTAAACACTATAAAAAATTTTAGAAGAAAAAAAAAACAAAATAAAGCACATTGTCCAGGAAATAGAGAAGCACCAAATAAAACAGCATAAAGACACAAAAAGAATGAAACCCAACAGATACCCAAAAATAGCAATGAGATACAAACTCTGAGGAAGAAGAGAACCATGGAGATTGAAGAAGAGGAGGATGGACCAGGAACGCCTCAATAACAATATAGGAACTACTGGAAAGAAGAAACAGACCAAGTGCCCTAAACCTCAAAAGTTCATGATGATGATGATAATAAAAAAATATTTCACATTTTCTGTTTTCTTTACATATTTTGGAAGAAGTAAATTCATAATAATGTACACATTCTACCTTTTTATTTCAATAAGTTTCATTCCTTAATAATAATACAAGGGCTAATTGCTCAGTTTGTGTTCTTTTCTTAAGTTATAGTGGATATGAAAGTGTCATAATGTTTAATCATCTGAATTAACACAGCCTTTCTTACCTTCCTGGAAAACATGTGGTGTGGTAGAACATTAATATTGGAAGTCAGGGTTATTGACTTGCCTTGTGTGATGCAAGAGTTTGGGTTGCATCTGAAATCTAAGCCCAATAATCACCCAAGATCTACTACTTGATGTTTTCATCTTTATAACCTTTTTAAAGATCTGATTTCTAGAACAGATTTTATTGAAAACAAAAATCTTAATATTCAAATTTTTATTTTTGCAATGTTAACTTTTTGCAATTTTCGAAAATACAGTGTCCACCGAAAATGGGACCAGCACCGGTTTTTTTACCATCCTTTGATACATATGAGGAGAAAGTTGAAGGAAAAAAGTTTGGGGCCTTTTTGTTAAGAAGAAAAATGTAAAACAGCCTATATAGCAATATATAGCAAAAGTATGCTAAAACTACCCCTGTTTTGGAAAAATTGTTCACGACCTTAGTTTAAGACTGTCTTTCAACCAAAACTTTTTATGCGTCCTTTACGCTATCCGAGGACCTAGTTTAATCCAAAATATTCGAGACATTTTTGAGAAAATCATGAAAATGTTGAGGCTTCACATAAAATACCCACAAAAATCAAAATATCTTATTGAAACTCAAGAGGGCCACGAGTTCCTTGAAATTAACAGCGGAATATCAATTTTGAAGAAAATCTGATGAACGTTTTTGGTGCTAGCGATGACTACAGACGGACGGACAGGATTGACTGACACGATTTGCAGTCGATCGATTTTTCGGTACCTATCAAGGACCCACAAAACATGGATTTTGAATACACAACGCATTAGAGGAATAATTTACTACATAGTACAGGAACAAAATTTATCCGCGTTTTCTGGCACACGATTAAGGGCGAGAAAGTAAAAATTAATTATTATTAAATTAATCACATATAGATATTCACTATATACTTAGGGATTATTAGAGCAAATATTCAAATAAATTAAAAAAATAATTATTGTTAATTTTTAAATTGATTTATGATCATTATTACAGATTCTTAGGTGACTGAAGAGTATTAACCCTAAACAGGGTGTAAGTGATGCTCCTGTACTATTTACGTAATGCTTCCGACAATGCTCTTCTTCCAGGACCCTCATGACGTGTGACTCTGGCGTAAGTGAATTTTAAAAGTGGTCAGAAAGAATATTTGTAATCCTGAATAAATAAATTTCGGTCATAGGTCCTTCTATTAAAATAATTTTAATGAGACTTTTTTTGTTAATTTTATGAGTCAAAATACTCCATCAGTTAAATATTTCATTCAGCAAAATGTTCCAAGAAACTTCGTTTCGTTGTGTACACATCAATACATTGGATCAACGACGTAACGGTTCTATCGCCAGTTTTCACTACAGTGAGTCAGACTAGGGAGAATCTTGCTCCATGGCTATTTTTAATGATAGCAAATGCTCTTCCAATTATTCTTTGATCTTAATTTATAAAATTGACAAGAGATGATGATTACACTATAGTAATCATTACAAATTTGCAAAATTGGTATTTTGAAAATATTCAAGTCAAATAATTCCCCCATATATTTGTGGATCATGCTGCTATTCTCACGATCAAGAACTAGATTATTTGTTTCATAAGTTGGCTAATCTGACGAATGTAATTTGGTTGCTAAATTTCGAATTTCTGCTAGTCTTTTATTTCTGTATCGGAATTAATCATTTGATGAACTGTTAATATATTTTCTTCTGTTTAGAACACTCATATTATAATATATGATATCGACAATTCAATATTCTTGGTAGGTGACGGGAGTTTATTCCGAAAGGTGATTACTACGGTTTGAATAAAAAAGTCGTTGTGCCTTGGGCGGTTAAGTTGCTTCGTAGCAGTTCTTTTGGTGCGACATAGTTCTAAATTTTGTGATCTACATGTTGGGCAGATTACGAGCTTTTGTTTTAATAATATAATTTGTATGTAATATTGTTCTTTATCAGTACCAATGGCTACTGAAACGAAGTTCTTCACTCGTGAAGAAGTTAAATCAAAAAAGAACAGTAATAATGCATGGATTATTATTCATAATTCGATTTACAATGTTACGGATTTTCTGAACGAACATCCTGGAGGTGAAGAAGTGTTGCTAGAACAGGCTGGCAAGGATGGCACAGAAGCTTTTGAAGATGTAGGACATTCCGCTGATGCCAAAGAAATTATGAAGAAGTACAAGATTGGTGAAGTTGTGGAGTCTCAAAAAATCACTTCAAACGCGACTTCAGATACTAATGGTAATGAAAGCTTTTGGAAATCTTGGATCATTCCAATCGCTTTGAGTGTTGTCATGACAATAATTTACAGATTTTACGTTTCGACACAAGGTCACTAAAAACCAAACATCTGTAACAGCTTATGAATATTTTACAAAGACAGTATAAAGAGGACTTGGAAAATCTTGTTTCAGGAGTGTCTGAAATTATTGGAAGAAGTGTTGTCAAATTAGACAAGGAAGTTCTGTATAAGTATATTTTGGATGTAAAACTTTAGCTAATTTATCTGATGGGTATTTTCTGGTTGAGTAATATAAGAAAACTGGTCTTACATGTGTTCCATATTTTTATTCTAGACTGAAAGAAATCCACAGAAGTCAACTTTGCTATTTGCGTTTCTGGTACCTAATAAGTTCTTACTTCCCTACATTACTCTTTGAGTCTCGTTCATTTTAGTGTTCTAAGATATGATTGTTAATGTAATGTACTAATTACGTAGTATTCCCTTAATTTTTATATTTGTTTTTTGTAGAAATATAAGGAAAATCTATTTGCTTTAAAGTGATTCACACTGTGAAGGTGTACGAGTTGATAAGATAAACGTTTAGAAGAAATATATCCTAAGGTGCACA